TTTGAAACATTGCCTTATCACAGTCAGAGGCGGCCATAGCTTTTGCAGCCTTTACCTCTTTGTTCTTCCTGTCAAGCGGCTTGCGAAGGCCGTTCACTCGGAGTAGGGCCTAAGTAAAAGGGAACAGGCGTCAGTTCTCAAACAAAAAACAGGCGTCCTGGAATTTAAATAACCAAAAATATGCTAAGTATACCTCAGCAAGGACCCCTGCAATCCCGTCTAGGTCAAGGGTGCCGACACCCCTGACCGCCTCCCTCTCAGCCGGAGGGACGACTTTGATCATAGACTTGGCCACCTCGACCAAGTCTGGCTCCTGAGGGCCGGCTGCATCAAGCATAAACAAAAGGGTTAGACCTAGTAAAGAAGGGAGCAAGTCTAAATTCACAAGGACAGCTTCATACTTCTAGGCGGCCCGATTGGAGTTTTAGAAGGAGTGGACGACTGTTTCTCAGCCGCCGCATGTTTCCTGGCAGTACCAGGAGAGCTCGCAACAGTCGTCCTCTGGGTCTTGGAGTCCGGCTGTTGGGAAGAAGAGGGTCTTGGAGTGCCCGTCTGAAAAAAAAAAAAAAAAAAAAAAAAAAAAACACTCGGTCATTATATGCATAAACCCAACTCCAAAAAGAGAGTGAAAGGTTCGGAGCTCACCAAGGGTGCCCCTTTGTTGGGGGAGTCGGTTGAGGATTGTTGCATGATAGAGGCTCGCAACATGGCCGCCTCAGTCTTGGAGGCGGTAATTTTGCTCATGGCGTCCGCTGCAAGAACAAATAGAAAGTTAATAAAAAGTCATAACAATAATGCATGGAAAAACAGAGTATTCGACAGGCCGGCTACCTCTTGAGCACCGACTGCTGAGGCCACAGGCGGCCAAAAAGTACTCGTCATAGAGCCATTTGAAGCTCGGGACGCAGTGCAGGGGTACTTGCTCTCGTACCCCGGTAGTAGAGTCGACCCTCGACTCTACTTTAAAGAGTCCTTTATCCAGGATCTCTTTCTTAGCTTTGGGGGGAACAAGCGGCATGCTGCGGCCGCCTGCAAGAAGAGGCGGATTCCTGTTCCACTTGTTGAAGCGCTTGTTCAGCTCTGTGTCTGAACTTTCAATGATAAGGAAGGTGCTTCGCCAATCCTTCCACTTGTTTGCTTTACCTCTTGTCATGAGGTAGCCTCTGTGGCTCGTCAATTGATACCAGTCGGTACCGCCTGCCTTAGGGGTCCGGCTGAGGTAGTTCATGTGGGCGAAATCCTCAAAGTTTGGCTCCACCCCGTGCAGTTTGCACCCGGCTATATAGCCGAGTACGTTGACCCAGGAGTTTGGGGCTAACTGCCATAACCCCAACTCATACCCATCCAAGATCCGCTGAACAGCCGGATGTAGTGGGAAGCGCAGCCCAGCCCTGATGGCCGCCTCGTAGCAGCCAAAGCAGGCGCCATCGTAACTAGTACTAGCCGGCCTGACGACTGTGTCTTCTGGATCCGGCACGAAAACTAAAAAGTCGGGGCCCATTGTGTGGTTCGCAATAAAGCTCCCCACTCTCTCTTGCATGGCCGTGATCCGGCCCCGTGGGACAGTGCAGTAGTAAGGGGTATTTTGCTCTCGGTAAGAGGCGGATGGCTCCGCCCAATTGTCCCCCTTCTCAACTGCGTGAGAAAGCCTCGCCTCTTGTAGGCGGCTGTTTTTCTCTTCTGTGTCCAGAGAAGCATGACCAGAAGAGCTAGACTCGGATTTGTCCTCTGACGAGTCCGAAGAGGACGACTCCTCCCCTCTCCCAGAGGGGCCCGCCTTCTCTCCTTCAAAAGGAGCAGGAGAGAATGTAGACTTGTCAACTGTAAAATGGGAAGGGGTCACTTTGACTCCTCCCTCAGAACTGTCGGCTTTCAAGCCGCTTTGGTTCACTTCCACATCTGGCGCTTGGTCAGATGTTTCACTAATCGGCACCCTGTGGGAGGAGCCGTCTGAGTTCGAGATCCTAGCAGTCCTTTTTGTTCTGGCCATCATGTTCTGTATAGACACAGAGACAGTCGGACTTTGTATAAAGGGAAAAGATGGGTCCGGAAAAGGGCAGGCGGCACTCCTAGTCCTAGATTCAGCCGTCCCCGGTGACCGGCTGATCACTAACCTAGGTCGTGTCGTGTGCTTCCGTGGTGCCATTCCAAAAAAGAATAAAATAAAGAGGAAATTAAGAGTAAGAGAACCGACGGTTACCTGAACGAGTGAAGTTGACGGAGTTCTGAAAATCCTGTGTAGTCGGCTTGTCAGAGCAGGCGGTAGGCAGAAAGGGTCCGAAATGTCAGAGCAAGTTCAGGGGTCCGAATGTTCTCTCTAAAAAGTTCTCAAGTGTGAAAATGACTGAAGTCAACACACCCTTATATAGGCAAAGTGAGAAGGCGAAGGGTCACTTCCAAAACTCAAAATTTGGGCGGGAGAATCTCTCGGCCTTTCGCCGAGTGACACCTGTAGCAGGCCTTCGCCTGTCACGGTGCGACACCTGACACAGGTAACACGTGACCAGTCACGTGTCACCTGTGAGGGGCAAATGATTAGGGGATTTTTATCCACCAATCAGCATCCGACACGTGGGCCAGCCAGGTTTCTCCACGTGTCCTTCATGTAGGCCAATAGGAGCCTGCCACGTGTCATCAAGAGATTCGTCGTCCTTGGACCAATTACAATGTGACACGTGTCCACCCATGCCCAATGGGAAAACCGGCCAGCAAGGCCCAATCATTGTGGGAGGCCCAGTCAGCCTTAGGTTTAACCTAAACCTAGTACTGGCACGCATCCTAAGGCATATAAATATGCCCATTAATCCTCATTAAGAGGGATTACGCACATTTAACACTCTCACCTAGAAAACCCAATCACTTTTATTTCCGCATTAATTACTCCTTAATCAAGTACTAACTTGACCGTCGGAGGCGGATCTCCAATCGTCCGGAGCATCCGTTTGTTTTGCAGGTACAGGCGTCCGGTTCCAGTCTCCGAATTGTAACTCTCCCGCAGGACATCAGAAAAACCCGAAACAAAAACCTTCCAATTAACTCCCCAAAGTTTGGTGTATCTTAAACACCATTGCCGCAAACGTCCCCTTAAAGCAACTAACTTCCTAGTTAGATAGTACATACGTGACCCTGTAATCGGCTTCCTCTATTCCTCTTCAATAATGTTTCGAATATCTTGAAAATCAAGACACCAATTTTCCACTTGATATGGGTGTTTTACTATCCTTATGAAAGCTTCATTGTCAAAAGCAATAGCTACATGATCAGAAGCAACTAATGGTTGGTTTATAATTCAACTTTATGAAAAGTTGGAAAACCAATCATTTGACATATATATAACCCTTATCTAAACGCTCCAAAATAAGACCTTGAGTGAGCCATTTGTTAGTCCAAGTATATCATGGCCGTGAGAAGGAACAACTAGTAGGTGATTTTGTAACTTCCAGATAGAAAAAACATCACTACCCCTTATACTTGAAGTGCCACCTAACTTATCCTCAAGTAGTGATGATAAAATTATTGAATTTCACTATTCATAACTTAAATGAATAAAATACGAGCTTTGTTGAAGTGACAAAAGATTTTGCAATTAACATTATGACTACTTTGAAGACCCTTTCCTAAATTAGACAATCTGCTATTGTGGGAAAGTTTGCTGCAGACATCATCACATCACCACAAATCCACAATGGTGAAATCGCGTGGTTATTTATAGGCGTTACTGATTTACTATGTGATGCTGTAGTAAGTTGTTTTTTTTTTTGACGCGAAATGCACTCAGAATATTATTAATCAAAGGGAGGGCTGAAATCAGCCTTTACAAGCTCTAGTAGAGCACCAGGGATGTCCTCCATCCAAACCATCATCTCCTCATAACTACAACTTAAAGAAGCTAAGCTATGGGCAATCTTATTCCCCTCCCTCTTTACAAAAGAAAAGGAACAAGAGACATAAGAGTATGAAAGCTGTAAAATGTCATAGGCAACCAGACCGAAAGCTGTAGGATTTGCCACCAATCGCACCAAACTGTTATATAGTGACAAGCAATCAATCTCGAGACAAAGATTATTGAAACCGACTGAATAGCTATATTAAGAGCATGCCTCATTGCCATTGCTTCAGCAATTTCAGTCTCAAACCCACCCTTCACCAGATGACACGATGAAGCTACCACATCCCCAACATGATCACGCAAAACTGCTCCAAACCCCACTGCCTTATTGCTGAAAATTGCTGCATAAGAGTTTACTTTAATCACCCCAATGGAAGGAGCAGACCAAAGGTTAGGATGCTGTAGAGGCTTCGCACAAATGCTGCTAGCTTCAATCACTTGCTCGTACTCATCCACCAAGTTGACAGCTTTTTGGAGTAACTCTCCAACATCTTTTCTCTTGCCCTTATAGACCCACGCGTTTCTCCGTAGCCATAATCCCGAAATGATACACCAGAAAATACTCCACCACTGAACATCCTTGTGTTTGCTCCTGACCAACGCACACCACAATCTGAAATTACTCCCCTCAAAACATTCAACATCCAAACGCAGAGGAGAGAGGCGCCAGGCAAGTTTTGAGTCATTGCAAAAAACCAACAAATGCAGAATATCTTCCTTCTTTTCACCACACATAGCACACACATTATCAATTTGCATACCTCTAGAGCATAAATTAGCACGGGTAGCAACCCCATTACTCACAGCATGCCACGCAAAGTTTTTTAATACATCCACATTCCACACAATATTCCAATCAAACTCCTCATTGCATCTAGATGGCGATGCCTTCTCACGGTCCTTCATTAAAATCAACATTTTATAAGCGCTCTTGATAGTGTATTTCCCATCCTTTGAGTAGTGACATGCCCACACATCTTTTCTATCGAACATAGGAATCGGGATGGCACAAATGGCTTCCACCTCCCTAGCAGAAAATATTGTGGTAAGTTTCTGCATATTCCAGCTTCTATCCACCCAAAGATCACACACCCTGACAGCCTCATCATTTTCAACCCCAAATTATGGTAGAGTTTTTAAAATTAGGAAGGCTAGGAATCCAGGGGTCCTTTCTAATCAATGTCGTAGTACCATCACCAACCACCTTCCTAGCTCCCATTTCCAGCACATCTCTAGCACCAAGAATTGAACGCCAAGTATAACTCATATTCGGGGAAATTTTAGCCTCAAGGAAAGAAGAATTGGGAAAATATTTCCCTTTGAGCACTTTTGACATCAAAGAGTCCTCATTTGTCATAATTCTCCACGCCTGTTTTGCAAGGAGGGCTCTATTAAGGTTCCTCATGTCTTGAAATCCTAGACCACCATGTGACTTTGGAGCATAAAATTTCTCCCAAGCCACCCAGCTCATCTTCCTCTCATCCTTCTTTTGACCCCAAAAGAAGTTCCTACATAATTTTTTGATCTCATCCAGAATGCTCACCGGTAGCAGAAAACATTGCATTGCATACGTGGGAATAGCTTGAGCAATAGACTTGATAAGAACTTCCCGCCCGGCTTGAGAATGAAATTTTTCCCTCCACCCTTTCAACTTTTTCCAGACTCGATCCTGAACGATTTGGAAAACCTGTTTCTTTGAATCCCCAATGTAAGTCGGAAGCCCAAGATATTTGTCATGTCCATCGACAGCCTTAAATGATAACTTCATCTAAAGCATATTTTTCCGTTCCTGCTCAATATTTCGGCTAAAGGACACCTCAGATTTTTCCATATTCAGTTTCTGACTAGAAGCAACTTCATAAGTGGAAAGAATCTCCAACACATTCTCAACTTCCTCCTCACAAGCACGCACAAATAAAAGACTATCATCCGCAAAAAATAGATGAGAGATAGGAGAAACCCTCCTACCAATTTTAATCCCATGAATGAGTCTTTTATTTTCCGCATCCCTCAAAAGAGCCGACAAACCATCCGCACACATAATAAAGAGAAAAGGGGAAATATGATCCCCTTGCCGGAGGCCCCTACTAGGCTTAAAATTCCTTGACCGCTGACCATTCACTAAAACATCAAAGGACACAGAGCTAACACATTTTATCACCATGCTCACAAATTAACCGGTAGCCCCAACTTGATCATCATTTTCTCCAAAAAAAAACCCCATTCAACTATATCATAGGCTTTACTCATATCAAGTTTTAAACCCAAACAACCTTTCTTTCCTGTTTTCTTCTTCCGGAGGTAATGGAAACACTCATACGCAACAAGAATATTATCAGTGATCAACCTTCCCGGAACAAAACCACTCTGCGACTCATGAATAATAAAAGGAAGGGCCTTTTTCAATCTGTTTGCCAACACTTTTGTAACAATTTTATACAGGACATTGCAGAGACTAATAGGTCTATAATCAACAGGGGAGACTCACAAAATTTTTTTCTTCGGAATCAGGACAATATGAGTCTGATTAATAGAACCTATATCACCATAGCTATTCTAAATATCCAAAACCTTCTCAGTTACATCATATCCTACTATATCCCAAAATTTCTGAAAAAAAATTGCAGACATACCATCAGGGCCCGAGGCCTTAGTAGAATGCATCTGAAAAAGAGCTTCACGGACTTCCTTCGCATGAAAAGGAGCAGCAAGGGAGCAATGTTGACGTTCAGTAACTTTCGGTTCCACCTTTTCTATTACAGCATCTAAGTCAGTAAGATTGCTAGTGGAAAAGAGCTCTTCAAAATAAGCCACCATTACTTCAGTGATCTTCTCCTCATCTCGATACTCCTTACCCGTATTATCCTTGATGCTTTTGATGTTATTTCTTGCTTCACGTTGCTTTGTCTTAGTATGAAAGAAAGTTGTATTTTTATCTCCATTTTTCAACCAATCCTGCCTGCTCCTTTGTCTCCAATAAGCTTCTTCTCTAATCTCTAGTTCATCCATCCGATCGTCAAGGGCCCTCCTTTGAGCAATTACATCATCCGATTGGTATTCACTCATCAAGTCCTTCATACGTGCCCTACAATCTTCCATCTCCTTTGCAAAGTCACCATATTTTTCTTTACTCCACGTACTAAGCCGGCTTGAGGTACACGCAATTTTTTAGCACAAATCGCCACCCCCTTCCCACACATTAGCAATGATCTCAGCACACTTAACATTCCGGAGCCACATCTCTTCAAATCGGTACAACCTTTTTTTCTTTGGAGTAGCAAACGCCTCCTTCATACACAAGAGTATCGGGAGATGATCTGACCTTCTCTTCGAAAGATGGGTAATGAAATACCCTGGATAAAGCTCTTTCCATGCTTGATTAGCAACAAACCTATCCAACCTCTCATGTATCTTATAAGCGCCTCCTCTATTGTTTGTCCACGTGATGTCATGCCCAAGATAGCCCATATCCACAAACTGACAGTAGTCCATTGCTCTTCTAAAAATATCTGCTTCTTCTACTCTGAAATTCCCCCCCTGCTTCTCACTTGACACCAACATGAGGTTAAAGTCACCCCCACAAAGCCACGGTTTATCATAAGAATCAGCGAGTTTCTTTAGCAGAAGACCTGTTTTATGTTTATGTTCCTCCTTGGGAAAACCATAAATTCCTGAAAAACGCCACCCTCCATCCACCAAGCTGTCTACAAGAACATCAATATGGTTCTGGGAGAAGGACAACACATCTACATCCATGTCATTCCTCTAAAGCAACATCAAACCTCCCCTCCTCTTCCTTCCCTCTCCCTCACATTCCACCACAAGAGCACATGAGAAATTTATTTTATTTTCTATTTTTTCAGCTTCATGTTTTTTCAGACGAGTTTCCGAAAGGAAAATCATACGGGGATTTTCAAGGAACACCACACGCTTCAAAGCGTTCACTACAGAGATAATCCCCAAACCTCTACAGTTCCAAGAGAGGATGTAACTCATTGGCCACCGAGAGCCCAAGGAGTGGGGCTCGCCACTTGTTGAGTTGAGCTGGTCACTGCTCGTTTTTTATTACTTTCAGCACTGTTAAAAGTCATTGAGCTATCGTCTATATTGTCTGCTTCTATATCCTTTCTTTTGTTCCCTGCATGTTTCACGCCACTCCCCACCTTATGTTCTTTCTCTCTAGCATGTCTCTTCCAGCATTTCTTCGCTCCTTCCCCTTCTAAACTGTTAATACCTCTAAACTCAGCATTCACCTCTTTATTTCCTTCGACCTCTCCACCACTGCTGAAGAAGAAAACCTCATTGCTTTTTTTTATCATTCCCCTGCTCCTGACTACTAGTAATTCCCAACTCTGCCTCATTAGTTTGGATAGAAAATTCCTCCTGCTGAAAAGTTTTAAGGTCGGCAACACTATGTCTTTCAGTATCCAAATCAACCCTTCCCAATTTACTCACCATCTCCGCCACTTCCACTCTAGAAACCTCTCCCTTCAATATTTTTTTCGGCTTTGTTACAAACAAAGTTTTTGCACAGGTTCCTTTCTCACTACTCCCTCCCTCACCCCTGCTATCAAAGTTGTTCTTCCAAGGCGAGGCTCCAAGCCACACCCGATACGGTGACACATCTCCTTCACACCTTTATTCTCATCACAATCCTTCAATCCATGCCCCATACACCCACAATTGAAACTGAATAAGGGCGGTCGTTCATACTTCACCTCAAAACTTTCTTCTATCCCACCTCTCATCTTTAATTTAACTTCTTTGACAAGGGGCTTTCGAACGTCTACAAGGGTTCAAATACGAATAGATTTATCTATTCCCAGTCTTGCAGAGGAGTCCATCTTGACAAAAACACCAATTTTGTTACCAATTTTTTCCACATTGCTCATGTTTAACCTACCCTTAAGAGGCAAGTTATAAACCCTAATCCACATCGGCAGATGAACGAGTTGGATATCCAAGGGTTTAATTGAATTTGTAGTTTCTCCAACAAGGAGAGCATGCTTATCAAAGTGCCATGGTTGCTCATCAATAACCTTTTGTTTATCTTTCCAATGGTGAAATTGGAACATAAACATATTCTTCCCATCAATGTTGCTAATATCGACTCCATGTTTTGGTTGCCAAACCCCTTTCATAGTTGTAATAAAAGCATTATTGTTAACACTGCGATTAGTCCAAATTTTCCCAACCAAAGCTAATTCAATACGGGCATCATCATCCTCTTCTCCATCAATTTCCCATTCAATCGCTTCCTCTGATTCTTCCTTCTTTTCCTCAGTTATAGGTTTATTAACCAAACCATCATTCTGACCAGTCACAATTGTATTATCTTCGCCAGCCATCATGAATGACACAAATAAAGTGAAACCCAACAAAAAACCGAGAGCAAATCTCCAAAACTTGATAGAAATTGAGAAGAAACCTTGAGACAAGGAAACCCTAGCAAAAGAACTAGAACAAAACCCTCCCAAGGAAAACCTAGAGGGAACTTTTGTTTGGGAACGAAACCCTCCCAAGGAAAACCTAGGGGGAACGTAGTTAAGTGTATCAATATTATGGGATGGAGAAATTATTAAATTTCACTATTTATAACTTAAAGGATTTTTTGACTTTTACCACAAAATAAAATTATAAAATTGTTTTTTACTACCAAAAATTTTAAAAGTTTTATTTTAAAAAAAAAATTAAAAAAAAAAATTATTTTTTTACCACCTGCCATCAAAAACCTAATGGAATATATTAAAATCTTTAATTTGACTTTCGTGCCAAACACATCATCTTTAGGGGTTTGGGGGGGCAGATTGGTCCTTTGGATCCAATTTAAGGTCAGAATTGACAAAAAAGATCAGAAATGCTTCCTTTTGCGTCTTTAAAAATAGCTCGGTTTGCGTAAAATGCGCAAAACGAGGCATTTTCGATCATTTTTTGTCAATTCTGACTTCAAATTGGAACCTTAGGACCTAAATGCCCCCTAAATGTATGAACAACATGTTTTGCACACGCAAATCAAAGAATTTTTTTTAACCGTTAAATTTAACGAATTTCTTGGCAGTAGGTGGTAAAAAACAATTTTTAGAAATTTTTTTTGGTAGTAAAATAAAACTTTTAAAAATTTTGGTAGTAAAAACAATTTCTTGATTTTTTTGTGGTAAAAGTCAAAAATCAACTTAAATGTATAAATATGATCAACAAAAACAAAAGAGTTGGTAATAATATAATCGTTCTACAAAGATTTGCTCAAAATTTTTGGTAATAAAAAATCGTTGTTGCTTCTCAATTACAATCGTCCTATAATGGAGGGAGTATATTCAATTAGAAAAGTTTACATGACAATGATAGTGGATGAAAACTTAATTAGTTAAGTGTGTAAATGAATACGATGAAGTATAATCAATCAATAATCAATAATCATCAATCATCAATAATTATTATATACTAAAAGACACACCAGTAATGACACGTGTCATTTTCTGGTATGTCACTTAATTCAAATTTGTTTATAATAACATCAAAATATTCTTTATTGAGACTCTATAATACTTAGCTCTACTCTACCGAGTATTAATAATCTGCTGACACTTGTTTTACCCTGCTAACATTGCTCTGCTAAAATATGATATTCTTTGCTTTGCATAGAAGCTAAAAAAACATGGTCTTACTCTTTTATGTCGGTGGCCACGCAATGTAGCAAGCTATTATGGGGTTTACTTTGTCAAATTTATAGAGGTTACTAGTTCAGTGTTATAGGGGTTACTCGGTTAG